ATATACTTTTAAAAAATACATGAATTGACTAATACTACTAATATTACTACTAATAAATAAATACATTAAAATGTATAAATATAATTAAATATTAAAATAGTTTGTAAATGTACATTATATTAATTTTCATGTTTTATACATTATAAAAACTATGCAATAACTAAAAAAATACACAAACTATAATGCTAAATTTAATTATAATTAAAAAAATAATTTAAAATAACAATAATAAGATCTGTTTTTAGTTGTTTTAATACTACAATTGATTGCTTCTGTTGTCCTCATTTGTAAGTCGCTTTGGATAAAAGCGTCTAATAAATGACTAAATAAATGACTAAATAAATAAATAAATAAATAATCACCTCATTGTCAGATTCCACAAGGACCTGGTCGTATTCGCTCAAGGCAACCAGGAACATGATAGATGTGACGTTCTCAAAGCAGTGGATCCACTTCCTGCGCTCTGATCTTTGCCCTCCGACATCCACCATCCTGAGACAGAGGTGACAAAGTATGAGTACACCTAAAAAGACTGGTTTGATGATTATGATGACTATGAAAAAGGCTGTGCCAGTGTTGTGTATGGTATCCAATTGAGACCCTGAACTGAAATGACTTTAAATTCATCCTTAAAACTAAGCTATATCAACATTTGGCTTTTGAAAAAAAACAAAAAAAAAAACAGGCCAATTCTGAAACAGATTTGCAACATTTTCATTGGAAATGGGCTACTAGATATCTCAAAGTAATAATATTCTCTGTTTATCAAATCAAATTATATCTAGAGGCCCTGCAATGCCACCAAAAATGAATGAGTACTTAAGGATGGAAACCACTTGTCATACAAAATTAGATGCATCTCAAAAATCACATGTCTGTTATCATTATATTAACATTTTGGCAGGAAAATCTTGAGGTTAATTGCATTACATCTGGAATTCATTCTCACAAACATGCACAAATTAAGTCGTGACATTGTGTGGACTTGTGCGTTTCTAACGTGAACTGAACAAGACCAGCTCAAAACATGACAGCAGAGGTTAACTTAATACAGAGAATTACAGAAGTATCGAAGCAGGACAATAAGCACGTAATTATGATTTCATCATGCCACTGGAGAGTTTGAGGTCTACGGTCAAGTATGGAGCCGGTCGTCTTCAGTTCTGGTAGTAAAATGGTGACATTGTAAGTGGTGAATTTCACAAAGGAAGCAAAACTAACACACAAACATTTATAGAGACGCCACAAACAAAAAGAGAACTGTAGAGTTTCAAATGCATGCTGGGATGAGTAACATCCAAGAAAAACGGACAGGGTGAATGAGCGAAGAAAAAGCGTGTTGGCACTGTATTAGTAAAGCCCTGAGACTGATGGAAAAACAGATACGCAACTGTAAGGTGTGTCGGGGGCCAACTAACAAAAAAATGTAAAAAAATTTTAATACATGCTTATTCACAAATCAAATATTGAATATGAACTAAACAAAATACATTCCTGGGCCTTGGTATGTCATGAACAAAAATTAATACGATGACAGTTTTTTGGCAAACCTCATCGAACAAAAAGTTTCTTCATCTAGGGGCTCTAAACTTAACTTTTTAAATACTTTTCATACTAGTTTGACAAGTCCAGAAACATTATCCAATAGCAAATACATACATAAATCACTTGTTCTGCAAGTCATTCTCATTTCCACCACAATTTTGCATAAAATGGCCGACTCCTTTGTCTCTTTAAGTTGAATTTTATAGCTAGCACTTTACGTATGCTAAATACATGCAATTAAATAAGATCCACACTTCTGCATCATTTGACAATCGCCAGGTGGTGACACAAAATGACAAAAATATTATCCGATATTTAATGTGATTTTTTGTTTTTTTGACATGCATTAAAGGCAGGGTATGTGATTTTTCAAAAACACTTTAGAAAACTGATTCGGGCCGAATCGCAAAACAAACTTGTAGCCAATCAGCAATAAGGGGCGTGTCTACTTGTGATGTGGAGGAGAGAGCTTTCAGTGCATGGGACGGACATTAGCCGAGCCGAGCGACAGAAAGATAGAGATGGCGGATAAAAAAACAAAAGAGGAAAACGTCTGCGGAAAGATAAGGCAAGAAGTAGGACCCGTGTAAATATCGGATCAGCTTTCCAGCGCTGGAGAGAACTCAAGGAGCGGAGGCCTGCGATCGGACGCCGAGGTTGCTTTGTTTCTTCTCAATAGGTGAGTAACACCGTGTCTACAACAGCTAAAGTCTGACTACACTGGACGCGATCAAACGACCGTTGAAAACCATTTGAAATTTGTGTCAGCACGTCATAAATAGAACCCGGCAGCAGTTTTCTGTCGGGATTTGTTGCGCCGCGCCACTCACGTCCGTAGACACGGTGTAACATTGGTTTTGCTTTGTTTCACAGAACGAATCGTTGCCTGGGTTGCGTACGTATATGTGGGGCGGAGCTATCAAAATAGGGGCAAGACCCTTTTGGGGTAGGGCCGTGTTTGTTTTGGTGTTTTCAAATATCAACATTGGCTACCAGAAATCACCAGAAATAAATGATATTTATTAACAAAATCACAGCACAAGATAGGTGAGGAAGGAACACAGTCCAAACAATAGGGCAGCTTGGTAAGAGCACACAACTGGAGAACAGGTTGGTCAGAGTTAAGACAGTTCCAGACTTCGCAGCCACGGGGCAGCAGCTTAAGGAAGCAGAGGCTTGACACGTGTAGATATCACAGAAGCACCAGAGTTGGCGGCCAGGTCAGGAGAGTCAGCAACCAGGAGAGACACAGAGAGCAGGGCAGGGTAGGAACCAACACAACAAGACAAGACTGCACACAAGACAACAGGAGAGACAAAAACAAGGGCAACAAAAAAACTGGGAAAACACAAAAAACTATGGAAAAATCAAATAACTAAAATAGAAAAAGAACAAAAGATATAAACAAAATAGAAGTTCTATAGATAACCTAAACTAGCTACAAAGGGAAAAGCAAAAAATACAAAGGATAAAAACTTTAACTTGACAAGATCAAGAACCTAAGAGGATAAATACAGGACTAGACTAGCAAGATTCAAATCATAAAATGAACCAGCAAACACGAGAGGAAAAAACAGCACAATATAAAGGAAGGAAGAACACGAGGGCCAGGTGAGCACAATTAGAGAAACAAGAACAAGACCAGGGCTAAACAAGAGGGCGTGACCAAGGGAAACAAGGAGTTGGGACCAAAGGAACACATGGCAGACAAAAACAAAGACAAAGCAATGTGTTCAGGCACAAGACAAGCAAAGAAACATTAAACAGAGACAACACAGACAAAGCTGCCATGGCAGAACCCTGACAAAGTTTCTTTATCATCATTTAAGCTCGTCTCTCTGAAGATTTGCATTGTTTTGCTTTATGCTTGAGATATTATGAAATAAAGAGACAAACAAAATGTTCTGCTTTCATTTTACTGCACCAAGACAACCTGGGGCCTGTTTCATAAAACAAGTTTAACTGAAATAAAGCCAGGTTTATTTCAGTTAGTCTGACTTATTGTCAGCTGATTTGGTTCAAAATAAGTCAGACTATCTGAAATAAGCCTGGCTTATTGGGTAAACTTGTTTTATGAAACAGGCCCCAGGTTGTCTTGGTGCAGTAAAATGAAAGCAGAACATTTTGTTTGTCTCTTTATTTCATAATATCTCAAGCATAAAGCAAAACAATGCAAATCTTCAGAGAGACGAGCTTAAATGATGATAAAGAAACTTTGTCAGGGTTCTGCCATGGCAGCTTTGTCTGTGTTGTCTCTGTTTAATGTTTCTTTGCTTGTCTTGTGCCTGAACACATTGCTTTGTCTTTGTTTTTGTCTGCCATGTGTTCCTTTGGTCCCAACTCCTTGTTTCCCTTGGTCACGCCCTCTTGTTTAGCCCTGGTCTTGTTCTTGTTTCTCTAATTGTGCTCACCTGGCCCTCGTGTTCTTCCTTCCTTTATATTGTGCTGTTTTTTCCTCTCGTGTTTGCTGGTTCATTTTATGATTTGAATCTTGCTAGTCTAGTCCTGTATTTATCCTCTTAGGTTCTTGATCTTGTCAAGTTAAAGTTTTTATCCTTTGTATTTTTTGCTTTTCCCTTTGTAGCTAGTTTAGGTTATCTATAGAACTTCTATTTTGTTTATATCTTTTGTTCTTTTTCTATTTTAGTTATTTGATTTTTCCATAGTTTTTTGTGTTTTCCCAGTTTTTTTGTTGCCCTTGTTTTTGTCTCTCCTGTTGTCTTGTCTGCAGTCTTGTCTTGTTGTGTTGGTTCCTACCCTGCCCTGCTCTCTGTGTCTCTCCTGGTTGCTGACTCTCCTGACCTGGCCGCCAACTCTGGTGCTTCTGTGATATCTACACGTGTCAAGCCTCTGCTTCCTTAAGCTGCTGCCCCGTGGCTGCGAAGTCTGGAACTGTCTTAACTCTGACCAACCTGTTCTCCAGTTGTGTGCTCTTACCAAGCTGCCCTATTGTTTGGACTGTGTTCCTTCCTCACCTATCTTGTGCTGTGATTTTGTTAATAAATATCATTTATTTCTGGTGATTTCTGGTAGCCAATGTTGATATTTGAAATCACCAAAACAAACACGCCCCTACCCCAAAAGGGTCTTGCCCCTATTTTGATAGCTCCACCCCACATATACGTACGCAACCCAGGCAACGATTAGTTCTGTGAAACAAAGCAAAACCAATGTTACACCGTGTCTACGGACGTGAGCGGCGCGGCGCAACAAATCCCGACAGAAAACTGCTGCCGGGTTCTATTTATGACGTGCTGACACAAATTTCAAATGGTTTTCAACGGTCGTTTGATCGCGTCCAGTGTAGGCAGACTTTAGCTGTTGTAGACACAGTTTTTTTTTTCTTTTGCGCACAAAAAGTATTCTCGTAGCTTTGAATAATTGCGAATGAACCACTGATGTCACATGTATTATTTTACAGATCTCCTTGCTACGTCTCTGGACTTGGGAACATTTAAGATGCATTGCTGTCTATGGAGGGTCAGACAGCTCTCAGATTCCATCAAAAATATCTTCATTTGTGTTCCGAAGATGAACGAAGGTCTTACGGGTTTGAAACGACATGAGGGTGAGTAATTAATGACAGAATTTTCATTTTTGGTTCATTTTTTAAATATTTTTTTATAAACTGATCATCACAATAAATATTACAAATATCTTATAATTTTTTTACATTTCTTTGTTGTTTACATTATCAGTTTTAAATATATCAAACTTCCTCTGCGGAGGAAAATATTTTTTTATAATACTATTATATAGATTTATATAGCTTTTTTATCCTATTATACAGCTTTATATAAGCTTTTTCTATATTTATAATATTTTATAATTAGTACATTTTTCTTTTTTTCTTTTAATTTAGTAAATGTTTTGGAAATTTTATAGCATGTTTGACATTTTTATAAAAAAATTTTAACATCTATAATTTTATAGTTTTACATCAAGTTAAAGGAAAATGAGAAATGTTAACTTGGCAACTAGCTGAAATCTTTTTTTTTTTTTTTGGACATTTCAAGTAAAGAAACTTGTTTTTTTTTTTGTTTTCCCCTGCCTACAGTTGAAGAAACACCCATATGTAACTATTTTACATTAAAGTGAGCCAAATAGTAAGGTTTCATGCTCTATATGCTGCATTAAAGCAGGTAAATGTCCAAACTGTTTTTTGTTTCTTTTTCTGAAAGTGAACGTGCATTACAAGAATACAGGCCATTCCCAGCTAAACAGTCTCACTCACTGATCCTAAATTAATGGAAAAGTACTCAAACAAACTCACAGGAGATTCCAGCTAAAACAGAAGGGAATAATCAGAGCAATTCTCAACTGTGCTATTTTTTCCCCCCTATCACACCTGCACTTGGGTTCAGTGAGGGAAAACATAAGAGAAGGGGTTTATTTTATGTAGGCAACACAGACTCGCTAGCTCAGTCTCTAGCGGCCAGGCGTAAAGCTTTGATAAATGGACTCCTTCAAGAGCTACAACCTAAAATAAAGCCTCTTCAGCCAGCCTCCGTTCCTGCAGGAGGTACAGCTGACCTACTTACAAGGATAAGCTCTCTTACTCTGGAGGACGAGGAGCCGGAGAAGAAGACAACTCAACCAGAATGTTCAAATGGCTGAGGTTGAGGAGTTTAGTGTGTAATCCTGTAGGTTACTTAACCAAAACTCTTCACCTGTATTTCGTAACATCGTCTACAGGTTTTCTGCATTCAGTAGTAGCAGTCACCTGAAACCACAAGTGGCCTTAAAAGGTGACATTCCAGATCTACCTTGACATGTACCTGGAATGTGAACCTGCCACCTTCCAGAGCAGCTTGGAAGTGTTTGTCTGTTTGTTTTAAATACCCAATAAACATTCGCAAGAATGTTATTTGTACATGTCAAGCACGGATCAAGAGGGAACCTTGTTGTAAGCAAAGTTATTTGTGGCGCCAGCGTGCGTAGGAGCGGTTTGACTCGCTGGTTTCCAATCGATTTGCGGGCTTTTGTGATCACCTCTCTTCAGAGGCATTTTCTCTCATCTCGGCTCTAAAAGGGGGGTTGTGGAGGGCTTCTCGTTGCCGCATCACCTGCCGAGCTGTGGTTCGTAAATGTTCCCCCTTCATGGGCATGAGCTCAAACTCCTGCCTGTGTGGTAATGTTCTCGCGTGTGCAATGGATTCTACTTTAAGGCCTTGAGTTGCAATGTTTAAAAGGTAAAACTGTGTCTGGTGCTGACTACTGTTAAAGAATTCTGACTGGTTTCATACGGTTTCTGTAGTATGGACTTTTTTTTAATGGCATTACAAATCCTACCAAAGGCCAAAGGTAACATTTCAATTTCTCATTATGCAATTAATAACCATGATCAAAATATTTATTAAAGTAGGCTTGGTAACCGAAGAAAACATTGCTGGTTTTTGATTTTTTTTTTAATTAAAAAAAATATATATATATACACACACACACACATACACATACCTTTATATAAACTTTACATTTAAATGCTATATATTGCAATATATTTAAATAAACATACTTTAAAACATTTAAAAGGCAAAAACAAAAAGGCAAAAAAAGAAAACAAATCAAAAGGATAAAAACAAAATAAAAAGGCAAAAAAAAAAATCAAACAGACAAAAACAAAACAATGCAAAAAAGAAAATGCAAATCAAATGAAAAGACAAACAAAACAAAAAAGCAAACAAGAAAACAAACCAAACAAAGAAAAACAAAAAGGCAAAAAAGAAAATGCAAATCAAACGAAGAAAAAGAAAAAAAAAGCGAAACAAATCAAAACCAAAACAGAGAATTTATAATTTGCTTTTTAAAATTTGATTGCTAAATACTGCTTAAAATATTTAAATGAATATATTTTGTATTCAAAACAAAACCAAAAACAAACCAAAACACAAAGTAATATCATTCTAATGCATAGAAACAGTGTTGCTATCACTTCTAAGAACTTGGTTCTGGTTAGAACATGAATGAATGCTTATGTCTTAAACCATCCTTCAATCCCCTGAATTTCGGACACATAAATAACAATAAAGACAAAAAAAATGGATGAATGTTAATGAAGTTAATGATGCAAAGAGGTTAAGGACATTAACAGCCACTAACGTCACAGAAATGTTGATAAACGAACCGAACCTTGTTCGTTCAACTGGCCGAAGTGGACCAGATCAACGCACTGATTCGCAAAATGTTACAAACATGAAGACATTAAAACTGGGGGAGGAATCCTCTCCGACATTATGATCTACCTGAAAATGATGCTTTGCAAGTCGAAGGGATACTCAATAATCCCTGTGGTAGGGATGCGAACCCTAAGCACGTCTTGCTGAGTCGGCAGATACGACGGGTCTGCGATACGGTCCAAATCGCTTAGATAGCTAGAGACAAGGAGAGACGGAGAGAGAAGGAAGAAGAAAGAATCAAGCATGGCAGCAGATCCCTAGAAAAACATTGAGGGAACGCTGCTTGGGATCCTGGGATGCGACCCCACAACCTTCTGCTTACTCCGCTGACGATCTCTACCGAGAGTTCCCCAAAAACAACACTCTTTAAGAGTGGCAAAGAAACAACAATAGCAAAGGTTGAGCCCTGGGTGGGTGTGAGAATGCGATCAGGGAAGGCAGCAGTGCAGTTGCAGCAGCAGGTTAAAGGTCAGGAGACAGCGGCGGCAGTGTAGGTGTGCCGTGGGATTGGCGATACCTGAAGATTATATTTTCCAGGTCAAAGGGATACTCTATGATGCCAGTAGTGGGCACTCGGACCCTCAGCACATCCTGCTGGCTGGGCACATATCCCGGAGACGATATACGCTCTAAATCGCTAAGGTAACTGTGGGATGAACCGGTGAGAAACAGAGGCATGTACATGTGTATATATACAACTATATAAGTAGTCCCAAATGGAAACTTTTCATATTTTCCAGGCAGTTTTGGAAAAACTGTAGAATGGATTTAAATATGGTTAAAAAAAGCATATTAAAAGTATAAATCTGTAAATATTTAAATCCAAAAATAAACATTTTAACATCCTCATCGTTCCAAACCGGTCTGATTTTCTTTCGTGGAACACAAAAGAAAGTTTAAAGAATTTTTATACGGTGTTTAAACTTGCCTTAAACTTACATTTTTAAGGGGGTTTTCAGTAGGGCTGCAACGATAAATCGATGCAGAATCGAATCGTGGCTCGATTCTGAGATCTTCCAAATGCATCGCGATCAATTCTGAGCTTAGATTTTAACAGCAGATGGCGCTCTAATCTAGTTTTTATCCACACACTCAAATGCTCATGAAGAAGAGCGCTTGTGCATTAGGCTGAGTCTGTAATTTCACCTAGGCTCAGAATGCTTTTATGATGCCAGATTAATGTAAACACAGCCCACTGTGAACAACCTTGTAATTCGCTTCAACCTTTTCAAATTTTATGAATGATTATTTTAGGTTCAGTGTGTGTAAGGATTTGGAAACAAGCAGAGTACGGCTGTTTCTAAAGCCTGCAGCGCCATCTGCTGTTCAAAACTAAGCTCAGAATCGACTCGAGAAAGACTCGGGAAATCTCAGAATCGATGCTAAATCATTTCTCGATTCGCGATGCATCGATTAATTTTTTTTTTACCAGCCCTAGTTTTCAGACTAGCATTTTGTTTGCTTTTTCTGAAACAGGGATTAAAATGTTATAATAGCGGTGTTTGACTTCGAATGTAAGCGGCAAACCTCATGTTCGTGTCAAATCCAGCCGCAGCTGAAGACTTGAAATCAAATGATGCTCAAGTGGTGTTCGTGTACTTTATTACATATAAAGTGTATTAAATTTAATATTTGTCCGATACAGACATTTCAGACGTTTTCATGTAGCAACAGAAAACTTTTCATAGAAAACTTTTCAACCCTCCATAGACAGCAATACAACTATCACGTTCAATGCCCAGAAACGTAGTAAGGAAGGACATCGTTAAAATAGTCCATGTGACATAAGTGATGTCACAATGTCCCTCCTACATTTCTGGGCCTTGAACGTGTCAGTTGCATTGCTGTCTACGGAGGGTCAGAAAGCTCTTGGATTTCATCAAAAATATCTTAATTTGTGTTCAGAAGATGAACGAAGATCTTACGGGTTTGGAACGACATGAGGGTAATTAATGACAGAATTTCTATTTTTAGGTGAACTAACACTTTAAACTATAACTATATGAGAATATGGAAGTCCACACAACAGCTATAAAAAAAAAAACATGAAATAATGATTTTTTTCCAGCTGATGAACGATAAAAACACTGACAGTCAATCTTCTGTCCGACTTTTAAGGAGCCTGCGCATTAAGGAGCAGCAGACGACAAAACTGAAGCTTGCTTACAATAAACATTGGTGTGGATGCTAATATAGTTAACGTTAAGGTTATCTTTATAGATATGATTTGTAGTATGAACAGGTCATAATACTGCATCTATACATCTATGACTTATTACAAATATGCTTCTAACTGACCGCAAGAAAAGATGTAGCGTTCGACAATTCAATTAAAAGCAATAAAGTTCAAAGGAGCTAATGGCTAATGACAGCGCACACACTTACTATTTAGTGGAGTCAGAGAGCTGGTACTCTCGTCTGCGGTCATAGGCTTCCTGGATGCCTGGATCTGACCAGAGCTTCTTTATTGCACTGACATAGGGCTGGTCAAAGGAGCAAATCTTCTCCACGTCGACCTCTCGCACCAGCAGAGCATTGTTCTGTGGATAAAGAGACCTTACACAGTAAAAATCCCATTTTATGACTTAATGGCTGTGTAATACTAATGACTTCCAGCGGGGTTTCGAACCAACTAGGTCACAAGTTGTCGAGTTAAACTTTAAGGATCTTTTTTAGGAAATATTAACTGATTCTTCAAAACCAAAACATGAGAATAATTAACCGTAATCCTGCACTGAAGAAAGACAGCGGACCGTGGTGTGACAGCAGTAAAATTTACAAGCGAGGCTTGTAGTGCTTTTTATAGCCACGTTTATGGCCTATCTGGGTTTGATTTGCATCTTGACGTGCACTCTGGGCATCAAGGAGATGATTACAGCGCAGTGACGGCAGGGGATTGTTCAGTGTGCAGCAGTCACCTTGTTCTCTTCGTATTTGAACGGGATCTTGAGGTGCTCGGTGGCACGGATCATGGCCTGCATGGAGGTGAAGATGTTCTGGTAGACGAGTTTGGTGAAGCCGCGCTTGTCCTCGTCGGTGTAGCCCGCCCCGTGAATGATGCGCATCTGTTTGATGAACGTACTCTTGCCGCTCTCGCCTGTGCCTGAGGATGAATAAACAACAACATTGGAACAGGGTTAGATCATATTTTGGCCTCAGTTACATATCAGCCTTTGGACTTTTTAGAGTACCAAGGATATCAAAGCCTATCTGGAGCTTTTTCGCATTTGGCTCCAGTTTGGATCCGGCTTTTTTGAAGGTTTCAGACAAAGGCAACACTTGCGAAGACTCCAGATGATGCCAACTTTATAAGGATAATAGTTTTATATGTTGATCCATTCACAAGTTGTAACTGCTGCCTAACACGTTTGTTGTTTGCTTAATGGAATACATGATGTTAACTAACCACATAACATGTCCATATGACAGTAATATACAGCTATAATAGTTTCTTTGACAAGTATTAAAACTAGTGCTGTCAAACAATTAATCGCGACTAACGTTTGACAGCACTAATTAGAACTTCATAAAATAAATACATAAAAATAAAAATTTTCTATAAGCTGCTTTGAAACAATGTGTTATGAAAAATTTTATATAAACTTATATATACACAGTATAATATACATATACTGTATAATAATATATATAATTATATAATATATATATATTAGGGATGCACCGAATATTCGGCAACCCGAATAAGCGAAAAGGACAAATAATATGAACCGAACAATTACGAACGCGATCAAAATAGAGGCACGCGCTAATGCAGCAAACATGTCGACAGTGTGAAAGTATTTAAAACTATCAGAGAAAGACGCAGAAATCCTTACAAGCGTGAAATCCTCACCGACAGCGAGAGACTTAGTGCTGCATCAAGTCTCCGATGAGAAGAAGAGGTGGCTAATGCTGGTTGTTAGGTTACTACTGTATGATGATTGAAATTGCGAAATTACCTCAAACGATTAGTAAATAAACTGCAGAATGTTATATTTTCTAATGCACGCACGAATTGCATGTATTCTGACAGCGCTGCGCGAGCTCGCGGCGTCAGGGTTCAAAGTCCAAAGTGCGAGGAAAATCTGCGCTAAAACAGTTACTCGTCAGTTGCCAAGTAACATTTTTGTGAATTTTTTTTAAAGGCATGTGACAATGTGATACATGCGACAAACATCTTCCCAAATTCATAATGAGAATAATTTATAAATCTGCATGCTGTTGTCAACAAAAAGAAGCACTGAGATCTTCCTGCGGGTTTCTGCCAAAATCAAAACAGAGAAAAAGCAGAGAAAAAGCAACAACTCCATCGACATTCATAAATGATAGTATTGTATTTTTACTGTCGTTATGTAAAATAAAATAAAAAAGACAATAATAATGATAATAATAATTACCCTAGAACAGCTCTGTTAATACATTTATTATAACATTCGCATATAGGGTTCAAATTGGGATCTGTAATGTATTCTAATGTTTTAAAAGAAGTCTCTTCTGCTCAGCAAGGCTGCCTTTATTTGTACAGTAAAAAATACATGCCTGATTCAAGTTTCAAAAATGGCCAAAAAATATTATTTTACTAATTTATTAATTTTAAGCTAAATTG